CTATTATGTTAAGCCGCGTCCACATTAGTAAAAATTTACGTTGTGCGTGGTATTCGGCACAAATTTGTGTGTGCGATACAAATTTATGCGAGTGTGGACCTGTTCGCCGCATATAGACGCACGCAAAAATTTTCCCGACATTCAACGCACGCGATCCGCCGCTTGTCGGTTTTTTTCGAGACATCAAAGGGATCTGCGGCACAACATCGTTCTAGTGTGGACGCATTTTTTCGCGAACGCAACAAATAACTAAAAACAAGCAACACAACACACGCTTTGAGCAAGAACGCACGGCGCACAACACAAATATTTATGTCGGTCAAGATCTTAGTTTGCTTTCTCCACTCACCTGTCCCAAAACTTTAGATGTGTACAGAATTCATACGAAAAAAATATGGTCACCCTAAAATAAACTCAAGGTAAACAAACAAACGTCAAATTTTCCACGGTCGCCATATTGAAAAATCACGTGGTTTGGTGAGCACCCTAAAACTCAATATTAAAGAGTTCTCGTGCCCCAGACGCTACGCTAATACGGTACCGCTAACAATACGGTATTTTACATGTTATTTCATAGTTCTCGGACACGAAGACATAAAAATCCTCTAATCCCTTATTCTGTTTATATTTTGACAGCTGAGTCGAGTGATCTAACCCAACTTTTTTTTGCTTGTTTTCTTAACTTATTATTTATCCTGAAGATTCTAAGTTTGATTAATGCTCCCTTGGTGTTTTTTATGGAGGAATTATTAGAAGTTGCTGTTCTTGCAGACGTAAATGGAGCGTAAACTAATTTTCACATAGCATAGCGTTACGGTAAGGCATCCGCTAAGTCCCGTTAGATAGCGGGCTCCGCTAACGCTAATACCGTAAAAACTGTCATACTTGTCAAATAGCGTTACAGTATTTGAAATTTGGACAGCACGAAAACTCTCTAATAACTTGGTGAAAAATGTTTAAAGTTTCGCGCGAATTAAAAGCATTTCAAACGACCTTAAATGCGCGCGAATCTGGATAACGTTACGTAGTATGATTTTGCGTTAAGCCGGCGCCACACGATGTGTCCAACCATTGGCCCCAACGTTAGATCCAACGTTGGGTACAGTGTTATTTGCTCTAGCATTCGGCAAATTGGGAAAATGTATCCGATGAGCGCACGGCTACACGATGCCACAAATCGCTATGTATCCAACGTTGGAAGGCATTCGACACATCGTGTGACGCCGGCTTCACCTTGTCGTCAAACGTCATACTTCATTGTAAAATCTGTTTTTTTTTTAAAGATAAAAGTCAAAATGACATTATGTTGGCAATACAATGTAAAATTGTCATTGCTTTCAAATTTTTCGTGTAGAAAAGGTTTGTGTTGCCAGCATAGTTACTAAATTTTTGTCTTGGGGAATTATCTTTAAAAAAAAAAAACAGACTTTATTTAATTTGGTTGATTTCCACATTTTTCTCCGTTATTTGTTTTCTTGTTGTTTTGGGTTGCGGCGAGTTGTAAATTTTTAAGTTATAATGGAAAAAAAGATTCGCACATACTTACTTTTGCTACTATAAACATATCACAAATTACAGATTGGCGGATTGGCCTTTGGAATTTCCTTCTTCAGTCATAATTAATAGGTATATCGTTTTATTTATATAATGCTAAGCTAATCATTGAATTTAACCTAAGTAAACCAATTCTAATAATGATAAAATTTTAAAAAATCAGAGAAAAACGTAAATAAACACAGCTAACGGGTATTTATTAGGTAGAGTCATGGTCAATGAACTATAACCAAAAACTGGAATGCTAACACATAAGGACGAACTTGAAGCCTAGTGCGGCTGCTGCGGAGGGGATACCTGTTTTTGTCGCACTCATTATGTTAAATGGCGAAAATTGCTTTCAACACGTATTCCAATTGATGAAACCTGTGAAGGGAAATATGACAAAACTTTCGAAAACGTCATATGTCAGCGAGCAACAGAAAAAAATAACATTCCCCCTTGTGGCATCTGTTTTTCATGGCTTCATTTTTTTGGCAGATATGGCAATGTGTGCGCATTCCAGTTTTTAGCTATAGTTCATTGGTCATGGTAGAGTTCAAGTAAACGCTCGGAGTTGCTGTTTTGTTCTTTTATCCCTGTTCTTCTCATCATAAGAAAAAAAGACGGAAAATGCTCCGAGCGCTCAGTGTTTCAAGACGAACTCATGGTATGATGGACGGATGCTGACAGACACTGACAGATCATCCTAGATGACGTCACGAACAGTACCAAAGCGTTTTTCCCGCTGGAAATAATTTGAATTTTTCCGAATTTTTAATTCCTTATTGTGGCCGTTTGCGACAAAAATAGTTATTTTCCTAACAAGTGCGCAAAGTGTTACTTTTCCGCGCGCAAACACAGTTATACGAACGACGCGAAGCGGAGTTCTGATACGTGTTTGCGTGCGGAAAAGACACTTTGCGCACGTGTTAGGAACAAAATTTTTCCTACGAGCTTCATATCAGGTAGGTATTAACAAAAATTAAAAAAAAAAAACGATAATTTGTTTAATTATTTTTAATTAACTTGAAGGGAACCTATGCATTTATCAAAAAATTACATAACAAAAAAAAATAACAGAAAATCCTCGTCAGAGCTGTTCATCTTAAAGCGTTTAAATTTGATGAGAAAGTTTGTAGATTTTTGCATATAAATAGAGAACAAATCTGACAATGTGTCAAAGTTAATTTATATTTGGTGTTTGTATAGATGTTGGCTGATATAGAAACAGAGAAAAAATTTGTCATCATGTGTCAAAGTCGACAGGTACACTTATTGTTGCTTGACAATTATAATTACTTTTCGGCACTCAGTGCGGATAAGGCCTGTATCCGCACTGAGTGCGGAAAAGTGTAACTTTGAGCCCGGAAATGCGTGCGGAAAAGTACTACTTTGCGCACGCTCGTAGGAAAAAATTGTTTTTTTCGCTGATATAGGTTTTAATTAATGTATTCTTATGATTTATAGTAATATTTTCATGTTTAAATTTTTTGTCAAGTTCCCTATTAGGGAATCCAAACCACGTGACTTTTGCCAACCAGCCGGCATTTTGAAATTTTTATGAGGTTAGAATACGGGTTCTTACATGTCAACGATGTCAGAACAGTGTCAGATTTGAGTACTCGCCCCGTGTATTGATAAAGCCTAGTCCTCATAACCGCGAAATTCGCTCTTGTCACTTCGACATTTGATTCACGCATAAAACGTCAAATTGTCGAAGCAATGTCAAAAAAGAGCGAATTTCGCTGTTATGAGTACTAGGCTTAATCCTGCCAAAAAAAACATATGTTTTCTGTTTATTGTTTGCCAACCAGACGCCATTTGGACAGGTCGTTGGATTGCCTAATTAGGCTCTCCAAACCACGTGATTTTTCAATATGGCGAGTGTGGAAAATTTGACGTTTGTTTGTTTATGTTGAGTTTATTTGGAATATTTTCAAGCCAATAGGGTACTTGCATGAAAAATTAAATTGATTATTGTTTATTGCAAACTGTAGGAAATCGAAAAAAAATCGATGCGTGTTTTTCTATTTTGTCCAAATAAGATTATTTCGGAAGTTATAACAAATATTGAGTTTTATATATATATATATATATATATATATATATATATAGATATACTGAGCATGTGCGACGTATTATACCTAAGTTATGACGTCAGAAGGACATTTCAAAGCGTTGTATCTCCGTCAATTTTTGACTCACAAGAAAAAGAAAAAACACGTGTTGACTTATTTTTCATGGTCTATCGAAATCCGCAATAAAAAAATTTGATGCAAGGAGCCTATTACAGTTTACTTTGTTGATATACTTTTTGAGATGCAGGATGCAGAGTGAATATTTTAAAGACTTAAATGCTGGAAAATCGGGCTGTGGGCGAACGGTAATTAGTTTGAAAAAATGTCCAGTTGACATTTTAACCCACAGTTTTCACAAATTTCACATCAATGAGTAAATGAAGGCCTACAAAAGCTTAGATACTCACAAGTATTTTGAGTCTGGCTTAATTTTAGATGCAGGAACAGTGATAGTGAAAAATGTTCACGTTTTAATTGGAAAATTTTGAAACAGAGGGCAATGAAAAAAGCCTGACATCATCCTTGTTACCTTGTTGAAACTACTTCCACAATCAACTACAAGACATGTTTGTGGCATTTTTAATTAGAAGAAACGCTAATTAAGTCGATAAAATAAAAAAATAAACAGAGTTCATTCTTTAAATTCCATACTCTTATATGCGGGATAATGAACTTCCGCCCACAACGCACTTTTTGACAGGTCGTTGAAATGCCTAATTTTTCACGTTTAAAAATGCACTGTCATAATAAAAAACAAACCGATCAAGGAGTGCGTGACGTCACTCGCATTCCTCCATGTTCGATATTTTTATGAACGTATGTCTTATGGGATTGAGCAATCCTGGGGGGGGATTCTCATCCTCTAGTCGCAACCTATCGTCCCGACTCACCCGAAGAAAGGCAATGGGATAGTCGAGACGATAGGTTGCGACTAGAGGATGAGAATCCCCCACCTGTAGAGTTTACGATTCTTGGTAAATACCAAAAGCACATCAGCATATCTGTGACGTCACAACTTCCCGTACTTTGGTAAAAACCGCGACAGCGGAAATGCATTGGTTAAAACCAAATATAATCATTCCAGGCTCAAAATCGCCTAAATGCACGAAAGTCAGCGCATCTGTTCTTTCCAAATCGGTTCGACTAACACCGGAGCGAGTAGCTCTAGGGCCGGTTTCTCAATAGCAAGGCACTCCTGGTTTAAGCATAACTCCAAGGTAAACATAGCAATTGGACACGCTTACCCCGGAGTTAAGAAACTAAACTAACCCGAAGGTAACTAACGGGCTATTGAGAAACCAGCCCCTAGTGTTCTAAGCTCTTGAAAGGAATACAACTTTACTGTGGCAACAGCGCCACGTTCGAATCATTCTTCCCTTGACACCTGTCCTAACCCTGACAGTGACCAAAATGAGAGTGAGATTCCATAGGTCAATTTAAAGAAAATAAAAAGATAATTTTCAATTTTGTTGAATAATTACAACCATAAATAATTTCCCTCAGATGCAGGGTGCTTGAGCTATCCAAAAAATGGTTCTCGACAAATTCCTAACCTAAAAATTTCAACTATGAAAAGTTGACCCTTTCTTTCAAGGAAGAGATTTTCTTATTTCCCATTCGAAAGTTAAGAATAATGGATTTTTTGTCAATGGAGGTAGAAGAAGATAAAGATTTTATAAGGACCATAGAATGGCATATGATGGACAAAACCAAATTTTTTCCTTTATCCATGTTGAGCTCTTTCAGTGTAAGGTGTGCCCTATATCCTTTGACTTTAATAAAAACAAGGTTGCAAGTGCAAAAACACAACGATATGTATAATGGTAAGGATGTATAGGTATTGTCTACATCATTGTAGTCAATTTTTTTTTGTTATTGTAATATTCATTACTGTTGTACATTTCAGGAATGCTCGACGCCTATGGCAAAATCTATAGGTACGAAGGAGTGTCAGGGCTGTACAGGGGCTTTTGGATATCCTCCGTACAAATAGTTAGTGGGGTATTTTATATTTCAACTTACGAAGGTGTCAGGCACGTTTTAGCCCAAAAAAATATCGATTCACGTCTCAGAGCCCTTGCAGCTGGAGGCTGTGCCTCTTTAGTTGGACAAACTATTATAGTACCTTTTGATGTGATGAGTCAACATCTTATGATGATTGGAACTGTTAGTAAAAAAGGAAATGTAAGAATTTTTAAATAGGCGAATCTCCAAGAACCAAAGCAGGGGTTCACTGTTCACTTTAAATGATAGTTGTAGTCGATAGATTTGTTCTTGGAATTTTCAGTAAATATTTACTTTGGGTTTGTAGAACGAATAAGTATACAGTAGAATCATGTGAGACTCACATGATGAGTGTTCACTCAGATGTATTGAGCTGCTAAGTTTATGAAAAAATTCTGTAATTTTTGACTGAATTTTTTGTTTCAATAGATTTACCACAGTTGTCTTTTTTTGAAATGTTTTGAACCTTATAATGCCATGTTATAAGGTGTTCATGTGATTCTTGTCCACATTACCAAGGGATTTATATTGTTGAGTGTTTACGTTATTGCAACTCTACTGTATTTCCTTTCAATTCTTGGAGGTCCCAATTTTTAACTTGTTTATTCAATAAATAAGAACCAGGACTATTGTTATTTAACATTTATTTTGAGAACAATGAGAAATTGGGAAGTAAAATCAACATATTGTTTTTTTAGTATTCATAGCTAATCATTGAGTATATGTATACATTTAATTTTGGGGCATTATGGACACAATGGTGGAAAACTTTTTAACTGAAGAAAACAAATTATATCTTGTTCGAATGGGCTACAACTTTATTGGCTACAACTTTGATTTAAATCAAAAGTGCCTAGAGGTAGTGTTGTAAAATGCTTGAGAATTTATTTTTGAAGAACATTTTCCGAGCATGAACAAGAATAATGAGCATGAAAGAAAAAAAGTAACGGGAAATAATAAAATATTAAAAAATATCTGCTTATAGTTGGTGGATCTATAAATAAAGTGTTTCTAGGAGATGAAGAAGCTATCGATGTCAAAACAAAAAACTTGAACATATTACACTTTTTTCTAGACATTTTTCGTCTGATTCCCTGAAACCAAACGCTGCTAGTCAGCTGTCGACTGTTGGTAATTTTTCTCAATCCCCGGACCCCAGTGTTGGAGAATAAATGTTATCTATTATGCTAATTTTTATTAAGGAACGTTCTCGTTCATGCTGATTTGTGCTTTTGACAAGAAACATTCCCATTAAGTCTTGGACGTTCGCGAATGTTCTTTGAGAATAAACGGCAACGTTCCATAATTTACAACACTACCTGGAGGTTTGCCTCAATGCCTGTATTACTTATTCACATCAAAAAATCAAATCTTTGAAAAATAGTTTGCAAATTTTTTAGGAATCTATTTTTTAAAGTCTTAAATATTGCTGCAATCAAACTATGGAAGGTTTTCTGTGAGTAAAAAGAAAAATCTATTCAGATTTCTTGGAAATTATTGAAAATCACCTTTTTAACACTTGCGGAAACTGGATATTCTCCGCACTTGTCAGGAAAAGAACTATTTCCCGACGTGTGTATTTCACTCAAGCAAAAAACTATCTTTCAGCTTGATTTGGGAACATTTGTATTTCAACGAGAGTAAGGAAATTAATCTAAACTGTCTACTTTAATATTACATTATTATATTATAACATAAGAATGATGCTTGTTGGTTTTGTTTTTGGCAATATTTGACCATCTTTAGTATTATGTGGAGTGGAAACCCTGATTGGGTAAGTGTTTTTCTGGGTCTTCATTAATTTTTTGAAGCTTTTTTGAATTTTGAAGATCTCAATCTATTGCTCCGTGTCCTTTACAAAGTCCCTATTAATCATACAGAATTTGTCAAAGTTTAGGTCAATTGAAATTACGCTCTTGGAGCATCTACCTGAAATGTTATTCATTGATTTGGGTTGCAATTTTTGTAGTTCTTCAGAAACTTCCCATTGCTCTGAATTTAAGTCCTGAAGGAGTAATATAACTTAGATAGAAATTCTGTAATTTATTTCTGTTTCAAACAGACTACCCGAACCATTCAATTGAAATTTCCATTCAACATGTAAACACTACCATTTTTCTCAATTTCCTCACACTTGAAAACAAAATCGACAATATAATCAGTGCGGAAAATTAGTAGGCTTATGAAATAAACTATTTGCAAATTGTTTTCCAATGATCCAATTCTATTATATTTTTATTTTGCACTCTCTCTTCTTTACAGGTAGCATTTAATCCGTTAGGAATTAATAATAGCCCTGATAGGAGCAAATTAGCTATAACAGCTGAATTAACTAGAAGAATTTTTAAAATGGATGGTATAAAAGGATTTTACAGAGGCTATCTCGCTAGTTTACTCGCCTATGTTCCTAATTCAGCTTTATGGTGGGGATTTTATCATTTTTATCAAGGTAAGAATCCAATTATTCAATTAACTTCTCACTTAATTGTATTAATTTCTTTCAGAGGAACTTTTCAAAATAATCCCTCCATACGTTTCTCATCTGCTCATCCAAACAGTTGCAGGAACTCTAGGAGGTTTTACCACAACAATTATAACAAATCCCCTAGACATTGTCAGAGCTAGACTACAAGTCCAAAGAATAGAGTCAATGCGGATGGTGTTCAGGGACCTTTGGCGGGAAGAAGGCCTATGGATGTTTTCCAAAGGTCTCAGTGCTAGGTTAGTGCAATCCGCCACATTTAGTTTTAGCATAATTTTAGGATATGAGACGATTAAAAGAGTGTCCGTCAATGACGAGTATAGAGAACATATTCGATGGTGATATAATTTATTGTTTTGCGATTTGGCATTTAGATTGTACCTGTTGTTGTTTATTATTGTAGATTTGACTAAAAAACTGTTAGTATAGTTAGGACAAACTTTATTTTTTTAGATTTATAACTGGTTACTGTTATTTACTTTCCTTTAGGCAGATTTTTAAGTTTGTTATGTTGAAAAAAAGTGTTTTAGCCTCAATAAAATAATGTTTGACAATTACATATTTGTTCTCGATGGTCAAACGTACAGGGTTTTCCATGTAGTTTAAACAAATTTCAATAATGAATGTGAATGGTTACAGAGAAAAATTGAAAAATACTAAAACTTTGCGAGTTCCATCTTTTTTCTGGTTGCCATGGGAGATCACTCTGTACAGGGCTAAATGTATTTATTTTTCTACACTCACTAAATTTTTAATTGATAGACACAAAAGTGTCACACTTGTTGAAATTTTGACCAAATATGTAAAATAAATAAATATGTCATGTTCGTTTACGTTCTAGTTTGATTCAAAAACTCCTTCACTGATTAAATTATCACAAACAGTATGCACACTGATATCCCCAAGGTCTTGAATCAAGAAATAAGAGAACAAGAAGGAACACATAATTAAAAAATGCAATAATTATCGTTACCTACACAGAATAATAGGAACATAGATATCGCAAATTTCAGAGTGATTTGCATAGTCTGACTAGCCAAATTCAAACGATAGCTTTATTGTGTTGAAACAAAATGGTAAAGCCGAGGGTAAAGCATTACTCAGTCGAAACAGAGAATGAAAGAACAAAAAAACAGAAAAAATAAGTCTTATCAAAGTATGAGAAACAGGCAATAGTTATTTATATTACAAGTGCGTTTATGAACATGAATAAAATAACGAGTGTGAAAAATTGGAACGACGAGGTCGTAGACCGAGTCGTTCTAATCACACGAGTTTTGTAAAATGTGTTTTTTTTTCAAAGATATAAGTCAAAGTGACATTATGTTGGCAATACAATGTAAAATTATCAATGCTTTCAATTTTTTATGTAGAAAAGGCTTGTGTTGCCAACATAGTTACTAAATGTTTGACTTGGGGAAGTATCTTTAAAAAAAAAACAGACTTTAGTCATGTTTAAATGCACGTGTGATGTACACTTGGCCAAACATAAAACTGGTACAGGCAATATAGATTTTTTAAATTTGCCTAGTGTGAGTCAGGCTTAACAACACAAAGTCTATTCTGGAAAACTTAGGTCAGACAGTTTTTGTCAATGGCCGAGTTCGTTTTTGTCATCTTTTTCATCGATTTGCTCAAAAATTTTGACAGGCACATGATTTGTAAGCTGAATTGTCTTATCCAGTCACGTGCCTGTCAAAATTTCGCAGCAAATCGACGAAAAAGATGACAAAAACGAACTCAGCCAATGCAAAGCTAAATGCAAAATGTTTTTATGTTATGATTGGTTCAAATATGACACTGACTACTGACTTGACTCTTTTTGTCATTTGTTGAGGTGATAAAAAAGGTCGATTTACACAATACAATACAACACAATGGGAACCAGTTTTATGATTGGCCAAGTGTACAACATTTTATCTACAAAGCGAAAAATAAGGAAATGTTGTTTTCAATTTTCGTTTATTAGTAGCAGTTGTCTACCTTCCTTTAAAAACGTCATAACCAGACGCTTATAATAGATAAAAGTATTAAACAAGGTATCGAGCACCCTACACAACAGGGCAGATCTAATAATGACACTACGCTTTTTATACATACAAATGGACTACGCACGGGTCTTATGAGGAAAAATAAATTTCACGATTGTCATGAAATTGAAATATGTTATGCTTCTCGACCTCCTGAACATAAGTTCTCGTAGGCCCGAAAAGATCCTATGATTAGTTTCAGAGATACAGGGCCGGGTTAACATACAAAATTTTGACAAAAAATAAACATTCAGTTCAGGCAATGTCCGGCAATGACATATTCTAGGTTAAAAACGGGTGGAAAAATGCCAAAGTAATGTCATCTGAAGTTTTAAAGGTTGAAAACTTGTCGAAAAATGCCAAAAATATGTCATTTTTGGTTATGAATTAAATTAATGTACCAGCAGATTCTGGAGATTTTTCTTATACTACTTTTTTTTATCGGTCCTGTATCTCCGAAACTAATCATAGGATCTTTTTGGTCCTACGATTGTTGTCATGAAATTAAAATATGTTATGCTTCTCGATCTCCTGAACATAAGCTCTTATGTTCAGGAGATCGAGAAGCATAACATATTTTAATTTCATGACAATCGTGAAATTTATTTTTTCTCATAAGATCCGTGCGTGGTCTTTATATCTTTATACATGTGTACCAACAATATATTACCTCGACCAGTTACTATGGTTTAACTAGAATACCTACTCATCTAGGCTATAGTATGCTTTGTTAATTAGAAAAGCCTCAACCTGCTGCCTAAAACTCTTGTAGTATCCAAGCTTCCTTATTTCTATTGGAAGGTGATTACTGATTGTTGAACAGTTTCTCACCGTCATAATAAGTATGTACATATTAGTACATTAAAATACAAGTTTCATAAGACGTGATTTTATCGCACGAGCCCTATATATTAGAAAACGAGCCGCAGGCGAGTTTTCTAAAGGGCGAGTGCGATAAAATGTCTTATGAAACGAATATTTTATACTATTTTTTCTATTTTGGTATTGTTTAATTAAAAAAAACAAATTTTTCTTGGAAATTTCATTCTCATATTTCCTGATTTCATATTTTTAGGTTGATAACACTACATGCCAAATATAGAAATCTTCTATTATAAAATCGCGAATGACAGTTCGATGGCCATCAGTCAGCCACTGTTACCAACCTCCGATAAGTAAAAAAGGAGTGTCACAAAGAGCTTCTTTTCGAAACTACTTTTAGTGTCGAAAAGACTTCGATATGACACCAAAATAGAAAATAGTACATTAAAATACAAGTTTCATAAGACGTGATTTTATCGCACGAGCCCTATATTAGAAAACGAGCCGGAGGCGAGTTTTCTAAAGGGCGAGTGCGATAAAATGTCTTATGAAACGAATATTTTATACTATTTTTTCTATTTTGGTATTGTTTAATTAAAAAAAAAAACAAATTTTCCTTGGAAATTTTATTCTCATATTTCCTGATTTCATGTTTAGGTTGGTAACACTACACGCCAGATATAGAAATCTTCTTTTTTATTTCTATTTTTACCAATAATAAAATCGCAAATGACAGTTCGATGGCCATCAGTCAGCCAGTGTTACCAACTTCCGATAAGTAAAAAAGGAGTGTCACAAAGAGCTTCTTTTCGAAACTACTTTCAGTGTCGAAAAGACTTCGATATGAAACCAAAATAGAAAAAAATAATTTTCGTACCAGTTGTGAATGTGGTATAGCGAAACTGAGAAGAAAAGACTGACTAGTATTGAAATATTTGTCCACCTCCATCTCAGCCCTGTACTTCCTGAACACCATATATGCCATTTCTAGTATAAAGAGTGAATAAAGCTTAAGGAAAGCATGCCCAATGAAAAGAGGGCGACAGGGCCAGGACTCGTGATTCCGAGTCCTGACCCTGAATATACGGATTTCCCCTTTTCTGAAGCAGAAACACTGAATCAAACAATGAACGGGTGCAGCATCCCCTAAAAGTATATGCCATATCGTAGGTGAGACTGCACCAAAGTGTAGTATGCATTCCTAGCAACATCCAAGCTCCTAGATACCACTCTTAACGCAGAAGAAACCCTGTTACAAATATTAGAAATGTGATCCTCAAACTTGAGATATTTATTTAAGTAGGTATTTATTGGTAACAGCAAAGAATAGTAATCAGGTAAACAGTCTCGAGTGCGCACCTAAAGTCCAGAACATTGGTTTTCGAAAAATTGAACGATAATGAATTGGAGTCGGACCTAGGCCTTTACCTTCCTCAAATCTGCATTGATATCATTGTTCATTTTTTCCACCTTGAACTGTGTCAAGATGGTCGTATCATCCGCAAAAAGAGTGAATTGGTAGTTGAGGTAAATCATTGACGAGAAAAAGAATATTCACATTGATATTCCTTCGTTTTGGTTCACCATTCTGAAATCTTACGGTCTGCGATCTACCCAAATAGGAGTGAAACCACCTTAAAGCAGCGCCTCCAAAACCATACCATTCAAGCTTCCAAGCAGTAGGTATTTCGTGATTCACACAATCGAACGCCTTGGACAAGTCACAAAACACGACTGAGGGCACCTCCCCACCACACTGAGAAAACTTCTAGCCAAAAATTCTTTACTAGGTAGTGTATTTTCAGCTATCATAGCAGAAATTTTAGCTGAAATTGCAAAATGATCCTATTCTAGTTGTAGGATGCACTTTACTATTTTAACATAATGTCACTTTATTGCTGTAACAGTAAAGCTTTTTTCTGCCACCAATAGTTTTTTCCTGATACAGTAGAAACACTACTTATTATTAATAAGTATGTTTCCTACCGCGGCAAAGTGCATGCCTGAAACTATCAAAAAGTTTTTTATAAGTTTTTTTAATTATTGCTGGAAATATTTTGGCTTCTTCAGCCAAAAGATTTTCAACAAAATCTGTCAAGTGGTGAGGTGGGGGATGATTTGCGATCCACGAGGTTTCCCGACACAAGCATCGCTCGGTAGTCCGTGGTAAGGTAAATGTGGTAGGGTAGGTATACAACAGCATAATGATGTACCTATGTATCTATTTTATATTTTTTATGAGCTTATTCTTATTCTCTTCAAGATATTGTAAAATAAAAAATGTTGGTTTTCTGTTTTTGTTTTAAACAAGATGGCGTAGCCTAATCCTTTTTTCGAATATCATTATAATAGGCATTTTTAATTGATCGAGGAGGCAGTACATTCGTCACAGAACTTCTCGAAGTTTGTTTTGATTTAACCAACCTCCTATCTCATTACTGATCTCCCTTTATAAAGGCGCTTGTATTTATTGTTTATGCCCCTTTATAGATTTAAGTTTTTTGATTTTTCATTATAAGAGTATTTTTTCTTATAATGGGAATAACAATTTTCCATTTTTCTGTCCATATTTTATTTCTATAAAAAAATATTATTTTTTAATAAAATATAAAGTATTGTTTAATTGAATTTGTATTTTATTTTCACCCCATGAACATACCCCACTAATGGCCGTTTGCACCGACCATTTTAAGGAAGCCTTAGCGATAAGTTTTCCTTAAAGTGACATTTCTCCACGCAAATATGTCATTGGATACTTATCGCTAAGCCTTCCCTAAAATTATCGGTACAAACGGCCATAATTAACTTCTTAACCATGAGCAACTGACTTTATTGTCACTGCAAAGTAATTTTATGGTCAGGCAAAGAAACTTTATAGTAGCACCAAAGTTACTTTGTAGCCACAATTTAGTTACTTTATTGTCATAAATAAACCTGTATATAGTCATAGCAAAGTCACTTTATAGTCAAAATAAAGTTACTTTATTGTAACAACAAAGATATCATTTATAGTCACAACAAAGTTACTTTGCTGCCACGGGTAAGACGGTTCAATAAAGTGAACTCTATTACCACAGTTAAGAACTTGGCTGGAGCCTATTCTAAAAAAAAAAATTAGCTATGGTCGCTAAAAAAATGGCAAGGGCCATAAGGAGGATTTCTCAGTGCATAGAGCAGCTCATGTAAACTGAAAATTGCATCGCTAGTGCCAATCCTCTCTCGAAAACCGAACTGTTGGCGCTCAGGAGTCCAAGCCGACTGAGAAAGGCTAACATCCTTCTCTCCACAAACTTTTCCACTATTTTAGCCATAATAGGTAGCAGCGTTATTGGAAGAAAGTTTGACGTCGTATCATGGTCTTCACCCTTATGCAAGGGATTCAAGGCAATAACCACAGCTTATTTGAGACACACAGGGAATTCTCACAACAGGAGTATAGCACGGAAAATCAATGTATAGAAGAAACAATTAAAAACTATATCACAAAACATGCTAATACTAATACGCGAAAACATGTTAGTGTTAGGAAATGTGAAACTATAAAAACATTAATATCTGAAAATAAGAGACATGATTGGTGTGGACCCACGACCCACTTTTGAAAGAGGTGGTTCACAACACAAATTTCTGGCCAGGCGAAGTCTCCTTTAGCCGTTTCAACTTTAGTCTAGGAAGACATTTTTTAGACAGAAAATATAACTATCCTCTTGAAGAGAACATCAAATGTAAGAATTAAAAATAGGAACAAACTTACAGTTAGAGAAATATCCTCACCCACTAATCTCAATATTTGTAAGTGTAGAACAGATTTTTTTAGTGTCAAACCTCAAAACTCAAAGAATCCCTAATCGGTCAGTTTTAAGCTCGGTAGAGATGGATAACATTAATGTAATGCTGTGTGGTGATTATAATTTGCCCAAAGTCCAGTGGGTGAATGACAACATGGGAACACAATTCTTTCTTTAGAAGGCTCACTCACTGAAGAAACTAAATGTTCAGTTGATTGCATGGCATTTCTCAACTTACATCAAATAAACAGTTTTCTGAATATGGTTTTTTCAAAATCACTGCAAACTGTGATCTCTCTTTCTGACTTTCCACTATTGAAACTGGACGAAGCCGCACCCAGCTCTGGATTATGTGTGTACCTGTCATAATTCTATCTGTGATTTTAGCAACTGTGAAAGTACTTATTATAATTTAAAGGGAGCAAACTATGGAGAATTGAATCTTATCTCTATCATATATTCCTTGGAATGAACTTTTCAATATCGGAGATATAAACGAAATAGTAGAAGCTTTCCACAACATTATTTTTCAGTCAATTGATATTTTTGTGCCAAAATGTCAGATTACGAGATCTTCTCTAAACTACGAAGGGAGTGCCAGGCAGTACTCTAAAACGTCTTACTCTGATTATATATCGCCAGTCTAAAAAATACCTTGATAAGTAAGCATATTACTGGAAATTTGTTAATACGAAAAAAAGGGGTGTTGCACACTCCACACTTCTTTTATGGAATACCCCTCTGAAATGTACTTCCAAAATACTGCATCAACTGGATTCCATTTTTCTTAAGCGGACGGAAAGTTATCTTTTAAGAAGACAGCAAGCTGTAAAAACTGGTGACCATGCTTCGTTTGAGAATGAGATCAACTCAGACCTTGACAAGCTAGCTCAGTGGTAGCTTGAAAATAAATTGGCTTTGAATACAGATAAATGCAGAATTGTAACTTTTTCTAGAATTGAAAAACCTATACATTTCAACTACACAATATGAATAATTGGAAGTTAACAAGAGAAACCCTTATTAAGGACCTTGCAGTATGGTTTGATACCGAGCTGAACTTTAATCACCATGTAAATGCTACGGCGAATAACTGAGCACTCAAACTCCTTGGTTTCATTTTCCGAATGTGTGAAGATTTCAACAACATAAATATAATTAAAAATGTGTACTGGTCAGTAGTAAGATCTGTATTGGAGTATGCCTGCATTGTTTGGGCTCCTCACTATCAAGCTTATGGAACTGAGCTGGAAAGAGTTCAGAGAAAGTTTCTCAGACTTATTGCGTATTTACCAAAAGATGAAACTATTTACGAGTTGCAAAATCTTCTAAACATCAAATCTCTACAAAAACGGAGAGAAAAGTTTGATTTGTTTTCTATTTAAGCTTTTAAATGGTGAAATAGACTGTGTATAACTATTGTCTTCTTTCTGTTTCAATACAACTAGAAGATTAAGAAATAACAACCTTTTCTCTACATATTAATTTTCATAGGACTAATTATGGGTACTCTTCGCGTTTAAGTAGAATGGTCAGAAATGCCAACAAATTACCTGATAATATAGATTTATTCTCTGAGTTATAATACATTAAAACGTGAGCTGACTGAATTATAATAATTTATGTTGTCTTTGCAACTTTTATCTTGCGATTTTAACTGTGTAGTCTAGTATTTGCATAATGTCATATTATTATTTTTTCATAGATGTATTTAAACTGAAATTTTTTAACCATTGTTACTTTAACCTAGGCTAGGTATTTTCTTTGTAAATGACCATTGTTCGTTAATAAATCTATCTATCTAACAGAGACGAACTATCTATAGCTCTCGCAAAAGCTTGCAAGACTTCATCAGGCACATGAGACTATAAGACAGAACCCTCAGAGAAAGATTATTCCGATCCAAGTCATAATAGACTGTAGAACAATAGGGAAAGGCTTTTGACTTTGACTCCGTAGATCTAGGAAAACCTTTGGAAGCACCCATTAAATATCACATGGACAACTGATACTCTGTAGTGAGCTAACACCAACAAATTTTTATTTAAATAATTACTCCAAGAGGGGTGTTTGGAAAGTGTATCTCTAAATAAATAAAATAAATAAATTTAAAATAAGACAGAGGACTAAAGTAAGAGATGCGATAACACCTAATTTATTGGTGATACGCTTGCAATGGATTTGTGATTTTTTTTTAATATTCAAGTTTTATTGAAAACAACAATTTAATAAATTTATTATTAATTGATCACAGCTCACCATATGAGGAAAAAACAACATTACTCTACATGAATAAATTATATAATTCATAAAACATTCACTATATTACTCAATGCCTGCTTAGCCTCACTCTCTTTAAATCCATCAAGTACCTTGATACTTTTACCGACAAATTCTTGCTTTAGCTCTTCTGTCATTTGTAGACCTGGCCCTTCGCTGACAATCTTTTGAATTTTATCAAAATCACAATTATGAACATCTTCGGAACCTTTCAAAATTTCAGAATAAAAATCTGGATTTTGTTGTAAATGAAACATCACTGGGGCCGAAATTAAACTAAATGGGCCTTTTTGAGCTTGTCTAAATATTTCCAGATCAAAATGTGCATGCCAAGCTAAAGCCATATTTCTCCCAAATAAATATCCTAGTTTCTGAAAATCTTCATTGTGATTGGCTAGTTTTAATGTGGCCTGACAACATTTTGCTAGCAAACTTGCATTGCTTAAAAAGTGTCTTAAAGTCCATTCGGCTTTTGCATTACCAAGTACTTCAGCGACTTTGAGTGGACTTGAACCAAATTCATTTGGGACTTCTATATTAGTCAATATTTCTAAGGGTTTTGCTGGTAAAGGTCTGTTTTGTTTGTCCCTTGGCTCTATAAATTCAGCTTCAACTAAATCTCTCAGACACATTGAAACTAGCTCATTCACCTCTTGATTTTTCAAACCGGCTAACTCCTTGAAACTATTACTCAGTAAAAAGTCCCCCGATAACAAACTAAGTGTATTGCCAAAATTCAAATCTGAATATTCTTCTAGATCTTTAGTATAAATATTTAAAATACTATTATGAAGTATGTTGCTCGTTCGTATCATCTCTGTTACTTCTGCTAATACTCTTTGGCTGTGTAAAATGCCTGCAGTAACATCTTTATCACTGTCAGAGAATGCTTTACCGAGACCTCCGGCTTTAGATACTAATAAAACAATTAGGCCCCATGTTGGTGTTTTTCCACCAAGAATTAAGTCTCTGGAAAAATGTTCGATATACTGATATTTGGATATGAATAAAAACAGTTCTTACCTGGCGGTGATTAATAAAGGATGGTTGGTCCCAATTAATTTTCTAATATGATGAGCCACATTAGCAATTTCATCATTCAATAACCATCTCAGACTTAAAAACGACGTAGGATATCCAACAATTTTTTCAGCCTCGTTCACAGCCCTTTTACATACAGTTTCTTCTTTGGATTTTGTTGAAAAGCATTGACAAAATGTAGATTTTCTGGCGATTTTGCGACTTGACAGCCAAAGATTTCTTGCTAGAGCCATTGTAGATAGTGATTAAATTGCATTATTCTACATTTAAAGTGAAAAATTAGCAGATACAAGGTGCAATGTTCTAAAAACCAAGGACCTATGTTATATCTCTATTTGTTTATTTTTTCCATCCATTAATCCATTTTTTTTAGGTTATGTTGTGATTATGTAACCATTTGAAATAAGATTTGAAATAACAGTTTTCTTTTAACTGCACTAGTTCCTAGTTCGCATTCGGGCATTTTGAAAGGTCAGTGCAAAAATTTATGTTCGGGTGTATTCAGCGGAGTTCGAACTTCGAGAAGCTGTGGTTCGAGTTCGGGCAGCAGTCGAGGCCAGTCGAGGAGGGCGAACAGCTTAGGAACCGTATTTTTCTAGGAGCGGGAAAATTTTTGAAAAAACCTCAATATTCCCACTTAAATTGATACAAAACCAACTTTATAATATATATATATCAACTAATTTTTATAGAAAATTTGTTAATAGGCTCGTACAGCATATTTTTTTTATTACATATTCTAAAAGAGCGTGTTGAGTTTAGCAGTTATACCAAATTTCATAATTTTCTGAGCCCTTGTTCATATTCAAATAAATTATCAAAATACTCCAATAGGCTGTTCATTTGTACCTACTGCTTTTCTTGCTTCAAGCAGAGCTGCTTTCCAGTATGGGAGTTTGACGCCCGGAGCTACTCGGGGCGTTGAGCCCCCGAGCTGTACGTACGCGTCAACCTGTCAGCTGTCACATCCGTGAGTGGCTATTTATTTATTTATTTCTTGTTATATCTCAAGATTGAACATTTTAAAAAATATAGTTTTGATTCTGTAAAATACTTAGGTTTAATGATTAAAACAAGCACAATTAATTAAGTATTTTATTATCAAAACATGCAGCTTCTCAGTAGTAGGAACAACGCTCCCGCGCACCAGCTGGTTCAGGTTGCCAGTTGCCCGTCCGACAGTTTACATCTTTTTTGTAGGTCATCTATTAAACCAGCATTTGGATATTATGGATAGGCAACCAACATAACATGTGGTTGGCCTACGCTGTTAATATACTATATTAAACATCTTTCTTCCTAAAGATCTAGCCTAACGGGCTTTTTAATCATTCGCCCAGATCTACTACATAAGGGCTTATTTGCTAAGATTTCTTCATCAAGGGTTTTAGTTGCATCATTATTAGAGTCGCAATTCTGAGTCAATGTTGGAGTATTGACAGAGAGATCATCATCGCTATCATTGTACTTTGCATAGGCATTTTCAACCGGGTTTAAACTTGGATTTAAATCAACCCTATTGCGTCTAATAATGTTGCCACTAGCATCTTTAACATTATAGGATCTTGGGGCATTATGAGAACAAATAATTTTCCCGGGTTCCCAAGTTTTGTTAATGTGATTGAAAATTGTTACATCATTTTCACTCTTAAACGGTATCAAGTCTTTTGCAGATTTATCAAAATATTTTTTATTGATATTACGTTTTCGTTCTATTTTTGTTACAACATTTTCACATAATTTGGGCATCAATAACTCATTAGAGACTGGAATCCTGGTTTTGGTCATACGACTATTCAATAACTGAGATGGGGAGTAGCCCATGTTTTTCAGTGGGGCATTTCTATAATTCAAAAGTGCCAACTCAAGATCTTCTCCTTTCTCTAAAGATTTTTTTATAAGTTTTTTTGATATGTCAACGGCTTTTTCTGCAAGGCCATTTGATCTAGGATAGTTGGGACTTCTAAATGACAATTCAAAATTCCAATCTTGTGAAAATGTTATAAATCTATGACTATTATATGGCACATTGTCACATACTAATAAATCTGGCGGACCAAATCTCGCAAACACACTCCTAAGTTCATTTATTACACTTTGTGCACTCTTGTCATTAATTGGTAAAAGTTCCAGCCAATTTGAAAAAGCATCAAATAATACAACATAACTTTTATTCGCAAAAGAAAAAATATCTGTTCCAATTCGTTCCCAACATCTAGTGGGAAGATGAAACTGATGCAACAATGTCTCTTTACAATTTTTACGTGCAAATTTTTCACACACTTTGCATGATTTTATAAATGATTCAATGTCTAATGCTTGCCCAGGCCAGTAAAATATTTGACGTGCTCGGTTTTTTGTTTTTTCTATTCCTAAATGACCTTCGTGTAGTACTTTCAACATTTCTGGTCTTAATTTTGTAGGCACTATGATTTTATTCTCTAAAAATAATAAATTATCTGAAAGGAAGATTTTATCTTTGAGCTTTGCATAAATTTTGACATTATCAGGAATTTTATACTTTTGCATGGGCCAGCCATGATCGAGAAAATCAATAACCAACTTCAATTGAGGATCATTGACTGTTTCTTCTCTAAATTGTTGTTTCCGCTCATCTGACATTGGAATGTATTTTGTAACAGTATGAATAGAAAATTCAATTTCAGAGTCTGCCTTCAACCCAGTAATATTTAGAAATGCTCTGGAAAGAGTGTCAGAAATATACATCTGCTTTCCAGGCTTATAAGTTATTTTAAGATTATAATTCAACATCTTCAATCTCATCCTTTGTAACCTAGGAGAGACTGAATGAAGATCTTTTTTAAAAATTGTCTCCAAAGGTTTATGATCACTGTGTACTGTTACATCAAGGCCATATATAAACAAATGGAATTTCTGCACAGCAAAGAGGATTGCTAAAGTTTCCTTCTCAATTTGCGCATATTTTTTTTCAGTGTTGGTAAGGCTTCTTGATGCAAAAGCAACAGGGTGACCTTCCTGCAGCAAACATGTACCAAGGCCATCTTTGGAGGCATCTGTTTCTATAATAATATTTTTTTCTGGATTAAAGAAAGTTAAAATTGGGGCGCTGGTGAGCAAATTCTTAAGTTCCAACACAGCTGTTGAGTGGCTTTCATTCCAATGCCATTGAACATCTTCTCTAGTCAGTTCTCTTAATGGTGAAGTTATTTTGGATAAATTTGGTATGAACCTACCAACAAACTTCACCATACCTAAAAATCTCAATAATGCAGTCTTATTTTCAGGATTAGGCATTTCAGTTATTGCCTCTACATAGGCCTTATTGATAGTAATACCATCCTTAGAGAATATCTGGCCTAAAAATTTTACACTTGGTTTTTTTAGCTGAATTTTAAGTTTATTGAATTTTATGTTATATTTTGAAGCTCTCTGTAAAACTGTTCTCAAATTGGAATCATGCTCCATTTCAGTTGAGCCAGTAACAATGAGATCATCAAAATATAACTCAACACCCTCAATATCTCCAAATAACTCGTAATTCTTTTTTTGGAAAACCTCCGGTGCTGAGGAAATTCCAAAGGGCAATCTCAAAAATTGGTAGCGTCCAAATGGGGTACCAAATGTGCATAGATCAGAGCTGGAAGAGTCAAGTTCAATCTGCCAATACCCATCACGCATATCTAAAACACTGAAAAAACGTTTGCCTGCTAATTTTGAAGAAATTTCTTCCAAAGATGGGATCAAAAAATGTTCCCTTCTGATGGCTTCATTCAATTGCTTTGGATCCAGGCATAAACGCAAATCTTTATTACTCTTCTCTACAATTACCAAAGCACTTAACCATTCAGTTGGCTTATCAATTTTTTTTATTATACCTTCTTGTTCAAGATCATTCAACTTTTTTCTTAAACGGTCATGCAAAATTCTTGGAACACGTCTAATTGGAGTAATTTTTGGAATTGCTCCTTCCCTTAATGATATGTGATGGGTATTGGGAAATTTCCCCAGCCCTGTGAAAACTTCCGGAAATTCTTTTTCAATATCATCTACAGTGCTAAATACTGGCGTATTATCTACATCGACACTATCAATACGCTTAACAACATTCAGTCTAATAGAATCAGCTAGTCCCAGTAATGGTACTTGACCTTTTACATCAACAATCACAAACAGAATTTTTCTTATGACATCACTAGTCAAGTTACTAGTTTTGCATGGTAATATTACCTCACCAATTGCACTAATCTTAAATTTTGAGCTTCCATATGAAAGCAATGAAATATTAGAATTACTAATGGGTATATTTAAGTCCAAAGATTTAAAAACATGCAATGGTAGTATGCTTATCTCTGCCCCTGTATCGATTTTAAATTCAACAATCTTATCATAAATAAATACCTTTTTTGTCCAACATTTGCCTATTCTATTTTCTTGATTTTCAACTGCTCCTATCAACTTGATAACAGAATCAACATAAAACTCTGTGTCTTCACTCTCACTTCCACTATGCTCATTCTCACCTTCTTTTTGCATCACTTCATGCACTTGCCTGTCACTATACTGTCTGTTTGTTTTAAAGTTTCTGCCTCGGTTTCTGTTCAAGTCCCTATTGTTCTCCTGTTCATTTGGGCACATCTTGGCAAAATGATTTCTTGCCTGGCACTTTGCACATGTTTTATTATATGCGGGGCACATTCCACTTGCTCGATGGATATACCCACAATATTTGCATGTCTTGGGCTTTGTACCTGTCTGTTCCCCAACTTTGTTTCTTTCATACTTTATTGCATTAACTTGCGTTTCAGTTTGAAGAGTTTTAGCCTGATTTTTACTCGCCTCTATAGCCCTGCAAAAGTCTATACACTTTGTCAAAGTTAAATTTGCCTCTCTTAAAAGCCTTTCCTGGGTGCCTTTATCGAGAATCCCAATTACTATTCTGTCACGAATCATATCATCAGAATCTTTATATTCTGTAGTTTTAACAGCCCTGCGTAACTCTGTTAAAAAGTTATCGAACGTTTGTCCATCTTTCTGGATTAATGAATTAAACTTGTATCTCTCAAATATTAGATTCTTTTTGGGGGCACAGTATTCTTCAAATTTCTGCCTGACTTTATCTAGCTTTTTCTCATCACCTGTGGCAAAAGTGAAACTGTTAAAAAGTTCAAGGCCTTCATCTCCCAAAAGATTCAGGAACACAGCTACCTTTTTTTCTTCTTCTTTTGATGCAAAATCAGTTGCGAGCATGAACAAATCAAACTTTTGTGAGAAGCGCTTCCAATTATCAGACACATTGCCATCAAGAACTAGGGGCTCCGGTGGTTTAAAAATGCCTTCCATTTTGTGCTGAATAGTCAAGAATTCCACACAGTGAAATAATTTGTTTCAG